GGACGGAGGGGGACGATGAGGCATTAAACCAGCAGCACGAGGGTTTGTGCCGTTCACCTGTGCCACTTCTCTCCCTGCCATCGCGCCGAGCTAGATGCATGCCCGGGGGCACCTTCCTCTGAAATTTAGGCGAGTAACGGAGCGATGGAAGCTTTTGAGGGGGGATGGGGAAGGGGGGGAAAAAGTAAAAAAAAAAAAAAAAAAAAAAAAAAAAAAAAAAAAAAAAAAAAAAAAAAAAAAAAAAAAAAAAAAAATACTGTCAACTGACCCTCAACTTTTCAATCGCCTGATTTAACTGCACGCTGATTTATTTTTGTTTTTAGCAGTCTTCGTCACGGATGGAGGCAAGTTTGTGTGCGCAATTAGGCTTGCAAATTGCTAATCTCGCGCTGACAGTGCCTGTGGGTTCCCAGCTGGGCATGGTTACCTTGAGAGAGCTGTTGGGATCAGCACTGTCAGAGCATGCTCCGCTGGGGAGATCGGGTGGGTTTTCTGTTTTTAATGCGATTTAACGAAGATGCTTCTCACTCTGCCATATCCGAAGCATAATGGAAGAGCAGAGCGGTGATTGGTTGTGGATACTGGAAAAGGAGAAATGCGAAGGTAAAAAGGGGAAATCCCCGCAGATATTTCTATTAGATTAATGAAAGAAAATGCAGCTGTGCAGAAGGGGGATCCGATTAGCTGGTTTCGAGTTGAACTGTTTTGTGGCGTCTTAAGATGATTTAAGAAATTGATTTTAAAAAGTTGTATGAAACAGACCGTAGATAGGAAATGGTTTTGTGCTGTTGATAAATCTGAGTGTATGTGGGTGTGCTTAAGTTGAAGAAGAATGTTCCAGTTTAATTCTTTTAATGTTGAAATGTCTTACAGTGGAATAGCGCTAGGGAACATCTTAAAAATACTTTTTTTTTTTTTTTTTTTGTGCTAACCAGTTTTAATCATTAATTATTCTTATTGGTAGCCTCCTGAGGCAGGAGTTTTGAGTTTTTATTACTTGCAGTTAAAAGTTAATTCAGTTGATGCAGAAAATCCTTGTTGCATGTGATGCTTGTAGGATGCAAGCAGCTGTAAACCTTTTCTGATCTATCTGTAAAGGAGAATGTCTATAGATAACTATGGTGTATTCCATTATGCAGGATGTGTGTAGATACTTTGGAAAAACTGCCTTGTTTGGTTCCTGGTATCTGTAGTCAGAAATACATTTATTAGCTATTTGCAACAATCCACGCGCTCCCGAATCACGTAGAGAAACTCCCCTTGATTAAAGATGTCTTCTATAAAACAAGTGTATTTTCTCTGACTGCAGTTTTACAGGATGGTAGTCTAAGAAACGGCTGAGAAACCCCTCCTGCAAAATCCTTTTTCGGGCAATTTATTTCTTTCTGCCTTAAGTTAGTCCTTTTGACTGCCCCAGGGCTAAGGGTGCAAGTGAGGGGTGCTCAGAGGAGCGTTGCGCTGCATCGTATCGTTGGAGGAAGGATGACCTAAAGGGCTGTATGAGGATGATGAAGGAAACATAATGAGGTTTTTAACACAGGTGTAATGATAGATTTTGGAAAGAGCTAAGAGCAGTGCAACAGTCACTTCTTGAAACTTCATCCTGCTGGAGTCAAACTGTTTCCATGTTTCTGGAAAACCATGTTTCTGATGGTGCTGCATTTCCTCTGGGCTTTACTTGGGGTTATTTGCATGATTACAGTAAACTAGACTTGGCCTGATAAATCACTGGTATTAAACAGAATTCCTGGGAACACAGAGAGGAAAAAAAATCTGCTGCTCTCTTGGCTTCTTCCCAGGTTATGATTTTACCAACTAACTTGAAACTTGGAATGAAAGGGGGGGGAAAGAAAGCGCGCTGTTTCTAGGATGTCTTACTTAGAGTCTGCCTTTCCTCCCGTAGGAAGGGCTCTCCCATCACGACAATCAATGGGAGCTCTAAATTTTGGAAGGGCGGCCAGGCTTTGGTTCAGTGGTTTTATCAGTGCTAAAGACAGACACAGGGACAAATCTTGAGCAGCTGTGAATTGATGTAGTTCCATTGGTTTTAAGAAGAGTATAGATTTACACCAGCTGATGATACGCCCCTCTGCTCGTAACATACAGGATATGTAACTTGCCTTGAGTGGTGTTATCAATTTTGATGGCATTAATTCCAGAGAAGGAGAAGGATTTGGGCAGATTGGCGAATCCTTGTTTATAGGGTATAACTCACAAATGAATGGCTCGATCCAGTGAGTGCTCCCAGCTCGATTTATTTGCTCAGTGGGAAAGATAATTTGTAACTTACACGATTATTTAAAGCAAACGCTATTTGTGTTAAGTAATTTATTTTCTAAAATGCCATTATAGATTGGCCGGTTGAGAAGTAATGTAACTACCGTGCAATAAACTTGCAAAATCCGTTTGTCCCCTGTTCGTTCATTTGTAAGATTTGAAGTTCTTGTATTAACGTTCCCAGGAGGTAGTAAGTCAAGCAAATGGGTCACTTTTTCTTCTAGAAGATTGAAACATTCATCAAACAAGTAATACCTGGCAAAGGCTCTGTACGTGCCAGTGGAGGGCATTTGGTTCTACAAGACTTTGAACGTACGGTGTGTGTTGAACATCTTTGTGTCTGGATGGTAACGTGCCTTTCTAGGGCGCCTTCTGTTTTGATGGAAAATTGCAGTCCAGGTAAGTAGGATTTTCCCCATTTTGAGGCTGGGTGAATTGAATTGCAGATAAATTATGCAAACCCTATGGGAGGTCACGTATCTGCTTTTTGACAGCCATCAAATGAGACTTCCAGTCGTACGTGGGTCGCTGCTGGTTGATAAGGCTCCCTGATTAATTGCTGGGTTTTGTTTTGTTTCCTAATTTCTCCGCTTCGTACGTGAAATGGTGACTTCCCAGAATCATGTAGCTGTAAATAAATGTACATGTTTGTTCATTACAAATATTTTAATGTAATAATTTCATGATAAACGCTTCTAGGAAGGAAATACCTTCAGAACAAGTGCAAGGAATGACTCTTGTTTGGTCCTGGTTTCTTTTGGCAATATATTAAACGTACCTAAACGTTCAGGTAGACATGCTGGTTACTGTTTGTGGACAGGATATGTTTTTCTTGTGTGTTCTTGTTTAAGAAGGAGACTTAAATCATAATAACAGCCTCTATGGTTTGCCAGTGTGCGCCCACACAACTTCTTAAAAAATGAAAAAAGAAATTACACCCTAAAACTACAGTGTTTTTTGTTTTAATCAGGACTCATTCCTTGATAAATGATGCCTGGGATGGGTTCTTGCCCAGCAAGTCCTCCTTTGTCAGCGAAGGTCCAAACAGTTTAGTTGCAGGATGTCAGAGGCAGACTGCTCATCGTTTCTTAGATGTCTGAAGTTTCTCTAGTTTTAGACTCTGCGGTATCTCATGAAGTGGTTTTACAGTAGATAAACTTGGTGATGCATTGCCAGTGACCCTATTTAAGAGTGCTCCCTATGCAGAGGTCTCCTGTGTTTTTCTGTAGCTTATCTTCATAAGTATCCATCAGTGATGTGTATTAATACTTAATGTGTGGCGTATACAATCCAAAGTTATGGATGGCATTAATTCCAGGGGAAGAGTATTGGAGCTCTTTGTCACCTTTAGGGGAGGGGGGAAAAACCAACCCCCCCCCCCAAACAAACACTTTCATACTGTCCTACCCCAATTGCCCTCTTCCACCTGTTTTTCCTTATTCCTGGTTTTTTACTGCCACTTCCTTTTTCCCTCTTGTGGTTTCCAGGCTTTCAGGTCATCCATCATCAGTAGACTTCTTTATGGTTCCTTGGAAAAAGGAGTTGCGGAAAAGGCCTCCTTTTATTCAAATGTGTCAGCTTTTAATGGCGTGGTGAGATCTTTAAACCCTGTTACATCAGTCCAGATTCCTAAATAAGTAATAAGCTGGTATTTGAACATGTTACATCGCTGTTGTACGCACCCCCCAATTCCATTTTACAGAGAGGAAAAAGCAGAATAAATATTGGGGGGGGGGGGGGAATATAGAGAAACAAGGAGTGAAGGAAAGAACATATTTAGCAGAATGAGTTCATAAGAGCTACTTAGATTGAAGTCATTTTTTCTGTGATCAACATGGTGAAAAACGTTAGACAGTCCACAGGTTGGTTTTTTTTCTGTTAATGTCAAAGAAGGTACAAAGTGTGAGAGGGTGATAATGTCATAGAGCATGACTTAGCTGAAATGCAGAGGGCGTAGTTAGGCAGTGACAGCTGGGAATTTGAAATTTATGATTGGGATATCCAGTGACTTTCTGAAGCAGGGGATTTAGAGTATTTTTTTTTACTCCCGGGCAAGCTATGGAGGCAGTAACCACGTAAAGCTGTTCTCAGGGCAGACGTGTTCACACAGTGTATGTTGAAGTATGTGAGGTGAGAAACGCGTTTTGATAAGTGAAAGAAGATGGTTTTCACAGCATAAAAGCGTCCCAGTTTCGCTTCTTTCTCCAAATCAGATGGCTGCTCTTGATCTTTTCAGGCCAAGAGTCACAGTTAACAAGAAGAGTAGCATAAGAAAGCAAAGTCCTATGAAAAATATTCTTGTAATTTAATGCTTTTGAGTGTATTTCTCACTGTTAGGCAATACTGTGATGTATTTATGAGCTGTTTATACAGTGCCCGTATTAAAATTATAGAAGCTTAGTAACATCTTCCAACTGATAAAACTGTCCTTTTCCTAAGTTGGATGCCTCCAAGCTTTTGAGTCAAAGGAAAGCTTAAATGGTCAGCAGGACAGTGTTAAAAAAATAAATTGGTGATTAGGCAAAAGATAGCAAGCACTACAAAACCCCCTATGCCCCATTCCCCCACTGTTAAATAGTCTGGATTTATTTATCAAAGTTTTTATCTTCTGTTTGCAATCTATGCTGAAGCATAAACATCAAACACACGAGAAATCAACTGCTCTCAGGCTTCTGTTTCATCCCAAATTTTATGGCCACACGGCAGTGATTTTTTGCTGGATTCATAAAGTCATCAGAGCCGGTTTTTTATGCTAGGAACTGAATTCTGTTATCAAAAGCGTGCCCGAACAACTAATAGTTTTGTCATTCATTAATCCTGTGGTGGTATTTGTCTGCTTATTGCCTCTTGAGTTGAAGTCTCCCCCTGCCTTCAATACAGAATGCGTTTTGTAAATTTTCCTTATATCATGAGATACGAGAGTGGGTTTGAGGTATTTTCCTTCGCGGGGAGTGCCTGCATTTTGGGTTTGGTGACTTGCAGAGCTTCTGATGCTCTGATGTGAAGAAAGTTATCACGATGGGTTCCTGAGTGAAGAGGGATGGCGAGGCTCCTTGGTTGGATGAAGCTAATGCAGATAAACTGCGGTGATTAGAAGCACGTTAGGAGTACAATTAAACCGTTGTATAGTTAAATGCTCCATGCTAATTAATATTGAATTCAGTGGGAAGCTTGACTGGGGAGCAGGCTTTGGTGTCGATGCTCTCATGTGAAATGGGTACGAAATGATGCCCTTCTGGAGAATATGCCCACCTTGTGCTTTTTTTTGGGTGCTTGTGCTATCACACTTAATTTGAAATGCTTTGCCTTCAGTTGCACCAAAGTGA